AAAAAAAAAAAAAAAAGCATAAATTTGAAACTTGGTCCAAACCAAAATATAATAGATTCCAGTATATCACTCCTAAGGTTAGTACTGTTATGCCCTAGTTTATTGGCTCGTTGGATATATTTACTACCTTCTTATATTGGAAGTTCATTTCCCAAAGCAAAGTTTATGTATTTTGGAAGCAATTAGGGATTATGTTTCCTAATTGACACACCTTTCTTATTTCATGGCAATGTGACTGCCAGTGGGCAGTTTCTAAAAGTAATCGATGCATTTTTTATTTCCCAAAACTGAACCTTACGTTTAAAGAGAAAGATCATATACCAAGACATCTGATTTTTTTTTTAGAATTTTATGCTTGCTGACAAAAGAAAGTATGAAAAGATGGCACATTAGTGTGCCCTAGAATTGTTAGAAACAAAAATAATAGGGCCCCAAAAGAGGTACAGGCATGACATACAGCCTAATAGTTAATGTTGTAAAGATGTGTAAAAAAATGTACTTCCCTTGAAAAGAACATTTCTGTAGTAGGACCAACAGGGCTGGAATCTCAATATTTAGCACGCCAAGTAATTGATGAGTCAGAGAGGCTGGAACTTTCTGGAAGTGATAATGGTTCATCTGCTATTACTGAAGTATGGAATGGAGATGAAGCTTCTTGACTAATTTTCCTTTTTTGCCCCCATCAAAAAGTCTAGCTTAAAATTACAATGTGATATCATATTTTGCCTACGAACTAGTGAAGTTTTTGTTTTGTTCTTTTTATTGCAATAACTAATGCCAAGAAGGCTGCAGTATTACTGGCACTCTCATGGAGTTGGGTAGCATGGCACTACCCTCCGAGAACTGGGTTTCATTGTCTTCATCAAGAGCCTTAAAAATGTTTCTAATCTTTGATCCCACAACTTAACAACAACAACAACAAAAATAACCCAATTTAAAAATGGGCAAAGGACTTGAACAGACATTTCTCCAAAGAAGATGTATGAATGACCAATAAGCACACGAGAAGATGCTCAACATCACTAATCATTAGGGAAATGTAAATCAAAACCACAAGGAGACACCACCTTTTACCCATTAGGATGGCTACTAGCAAAAAAGAAAAAAAAAAAAAGAATTAACAAGTGTCAGTGAGGATGTGGAAAAATTTGAACTCTGTGCATTGTTGATGGGGATATAAAATGGAGTAGCCACTCTGGAAAACACTATTCCTCAAAAAATTAAACATAGAATTACCATACAGTCCAGAAATTCCACTTCTAGGTCCATATCCAAAAGAATTGAAAGCAGGGACTTGAACAGATATTTGTATGCTTGGATTATAGCAGCATTATTCACAACAGCCAAAAGGTGGAAGAAACTCAAATGTCCATCAACAGATGAGTGGAATAGTATGTCATACAATGAAATATTATTATCCAGCCTTAAAAAGGTAGGACATGCTGAGACATGCTACAACATGGATGAACCTTGAGGACATTATGAGATAAGCCAGTCACAAAAAGACAAATGCTGTATGATCCCACCTATATTAGGTATCGGAGTAGTCAAACTTACAGGTACGGAAAGTAGCATGGTGATTGCCAGAGGCTAGAGGAGGGGGAAATGGGGACTTGTCATATAATGGGTAGAGACTTCCAGTTTTGCAAGGTGAGAGGGGTCTGGACATTAGGTGTACAATAATGTGAATATACTTAACACAACTACAAACTTAAAAATGGTTATGATGGTGAACTTTTTGTCATTTGTATTTTACTATGGATTTTAAAAAAGATGTTTCTACTCTTTGAAGCAGAAATTCTGTGTTAAGCAGCAGTAACAAGAAAAATCCTGGGGTGCCTGAGTAGCTCAGTCAGTTCAGCAACCAACTCTTGATTTCAGCCCAGGTCATGATCTCACGGTTTGTGAGATCGAGCCCTGCATCAGGCTCTGCACTGACAGCGTGGAACCTGCTTGGGATTCTCTCCACCCGCCTCTCCCTCCCCCCATCTGCACATGTGCGAGCTCTCTAAACAAATAAACAAGCAAATTAACAAATAAATAAATGAAAAATCCTAAAACGCTGAGAAAAAAATACGTATGAAGAAGTTTATCACTAATTTTCTACAGCAAAAAAATTTCAAAACAGCTGAAAATGCCCTTAAAAGAAATGAATATTATAGGGCAGTTACTTAGAATAACATGGAAACATTGAAATGATTACACAAAAGTGTGCAATAACATGGAAAAATACTTCCAAACCTGCTCATCCATTCAACAGGTATGTATTAGGACTGAACGTGGTTCCTTCCTGTATGAAGTTTATTCTCCAGGTGAGGAGATGGGCTTCTGAGAGCACTCCTTTCATATAGGGCTCTGTCTTGTTCATCGTGGTGTCTCTAGCACCCCGAACAGTAGCTGGCCCAAAGGACTCAGTAAATATTCGTTGGCTAACCAGCAAGGATAACACCGCACACACAAAAATCCAATTCCAAGTAATACATAATTTAAAGATGGCTTTAAGAAAAAGACAATTCTATGAAGGCTTTGGGACCTTAGACCAAGAAGAAATCCTTGAGACCAACAAGGAGAGAAGAAAAGTTCCTCATAGTAAACAACGCATCCAAGTTTTCCTTCCCCCAAAAGGGCGACCAGAAGAAAGAGAAGGGAGAGGGGGTTGACAGTGAGAAATGGGGCTGGGTGGAACGACTACGGTGCCCTCCAGTGGCTGAGTGCACATGGGGCATTGCCAAGAGTGACAGCCTGGGCGGCCAACAACTGCCCTGAAGGGAATGCTGTGTCAGAGGCCCCAGAGTCCACGCAGGCTCTCAGGTCAGGCTTGCTGACCCCTGGCCTAAAACTGTAGGTAGGAAATGGCACTAGAGTTTTGTTTTCTTGCGTGTTCCAGTGGGCTAAATCCTAAACTGGATAAGAAATTTCTATTTGCAAAAGTTATGTTAATTGTGTTGATTGTATAATAAGAATACATTACATAGAGCCTACGAATCTATGTTCTTTTTGAAATCACTGAAAATCTGAGTGTGGCTTGCAAATATTTTCAAACTAAGCTACTGGATGTGCATTTTAAGGGTACCTATGCCTAGAAAAAATAATACATTAACATAATTTAAAAAACAGTGTGTAGCTTTTATATATATTCTTACCCTAAAATTAAGTTTGTCTTTCGTTCCCGTTATAGGTATCATATTTTATCAGGAATTCCTTGGTGCAGCTTTTCTTACCATATTTATATATATTTTTGGGTGAGTAAGTGTCTCAGAAGTAAGGAATGTGAAATCCTGTTACTTTTATGTAGGATTTTTGGCATTGTACCTCAGGTATAGAAAATTGGAAGGTAATATAAGAAAAATGAGTTTCCTGAGCTCTTAAAAGAAACATATTTTTCAATTTAACACCCTACACAGGGTGTTATATGACCCTACACAGGACTCTGTGTCTTTGACTTGGTGATTTGGGTATCTCTCTGAGGGTTCTAAAACTGGGGATGTTCAGTTCCAGCCAAAGTCTCGATAAATCCACTGGTTGTTGTAGCTACTCCATGACCTTTTTGTACTAAATCAGATTTACCTCACTCTTGGAAAATTCTAGGTTAGATCTCACTCAGGAACCACAGATGCCTCTGGGATTATCTAGAATAAAAGGTCAAGTCTAGGACAGATTATTAGCTTTGGACCTAATAACATCAGATTGGTGGTACCCCTTCTTTGTATCTGGACGCCCATCATTCCCCCTTCCTGGAGATTTGGTGGGCATGATTGCTGACATTCTTGCAAACAGAGGGCAGAATGTTGACAGAATGTCACCAATGTCTAAGATCCTCTGTTGGTTCCAGCTGGCACTCCCTTAGCACTTTAGCTGTTTCTTGATCTGGTGTTCTGCATGACCATTGTTACGCAGACTTGAGCCCAGACTATTTTCAGTGTAGAAAACCATCTAGCTTGAAAATTCAATTTCATAAGATGCTTGGGCGAGCCTAAACTTCTAGGATCTGGAAACTATGACTATTCTTATGGCCAAGGACAATTAAATTTCTTAGAAAATTAAAGAACTTTGTTTTTGTTTTGTTTTGTTTTGTTTTGTTTTTGCTTGTGTTGTGTGCCAGTAATGGGTCTGGGCATGCATGGATAGAAAATGAGACCTAGTGTCTACCCAAAGGGTTTAGAGCCTGATTTAGCCTCCAGATGGTAAAAACCTGGGGCAGAGATTTATTGGAAGCTGCCCAGGTCTTGGTTCTGGGGGAAAGTATTATTGGCTGCAGCAATTAAGACAAGTTCTAGAAGGCTTACCATGAAAAACAGAAAAAACAAGACCAACGGAATTTGTGTCATCATGTAGAATATGGAGCTCGGTTATTTAACACCCTGAGTTGTTTCATGTTCTTGTGTTCCTTATTAATATTACTCTTACAGGTGTTTTCTGTCATTCCTTGGTGTGTTTCTGATCACAAGAAATCGAGATAAGGAACATCTGCCACAGTCTTACATTGATTTTGGAAATATTCCTGGTAAACTGTCTATTCTTTAATTTATGATGGAAAACTTTATCCATATAAATTAGTAGTCGCTGCTATTATTTGGGGTGTTAAAATTAATATAAAACATAATTCTTATCCTTAAAAAATGTACATTTAGCGATGAAACCAGAAGTGATGTTTTAACTGTAAGTGTTAGTAATCATTTATTTGAATGTCAATTTCGCACAGAACACTGGGGATATAAAAGAACTGGCCCTGTTTTCTTGATTTGGGTGATGTCGCAAATTTCCTTTTTGGATTTCCTTAAACTGAAAAAGGGTGAGGGGTAGGAGTGGGGAATGGCTGCCAACAGCAGACCCCTGCTGCTTGGGGAGCCTTTGAAGGAACATCTAAGGGCAGGAGGTTGGGCTGCTAAGGAATATAGTTCCTGGAAAGATTGCAGTGGCCTCTGCACTGTGGGGCCAAAAGGGATGTTCTTCACAGTCACCTGAACATGAATAGCTTCTTCCCCTCCCCCACATTTGCCTTCATCCTGATCCACATAACATGCACCGTCTTCCCAGCCCCCCACTCTCACTGGGAAATAACTTGCTTTAGTCACGTAGACAACAGAAGCAATATTCAGAACAAAGCAAAGTTTGCTGTGTCCTCACCCCCTCTCCTGCCCACCCAGTATCTCCAGCTTTGCTAGGGATTTGGGGTGACCTATAGGTTTCTAGACGGAAGTAACGGTGATCTGACAGCTTCCTTTACCATTCTGTTAGGCCCAAACCTTCGAAGCAAAATTCATTAAAGCCTTCTCCCTATGACTGGGAAAATATGGCCCAAGAAGTTCTGTGTTCTCTTTCCCTCTTGAGTCCCCTGATCAGCTAAGAGCATTCAGGGCAAGAATTGGCATTCACAGCAAGGGTGTGCATTTTAAATGACGTGTATGGTTAGAAGTTCTTGGGTGGAAAATAAAGTTTTCATATTTTTAACCCAAGTTTTCATTTCACAAAGCCCCATACATAGGATCAGTAGCAGCTTCCAGAATCTGCTATGAAAGTCTGTTTTCTCTGTTGTTATATACTTAGAACAAACATGGAAAAGGGGGAAGGACACCGGGCAGGAAGGTGTGGAGATGAGTGGACGCTTCATGTCCCCACCGTGACTGATCCAACCTGGTTTCCATGCCCAGCACAGTAGGCCCTGTGCGGTGGGGAGACAGCTCTCTCCTGTGGACGGCGCATGGTCACAGTCAAGGGACATCGAGTTCTGAGGCCTTTTCTTCCCGGTGTTTATCTCTTGTTTAGAGGGTGACCACATATTATAAAAAAAGGTGGGGGGGAATAAAATGTGGCTTGGAGAGAGGAGAAATTATTAAGACTTATCCTTTTGTATGAGCACAAAAGATTTTCTGTGATTACTATCTCCACAGGGAAACAAACACTGGACAAAATACAACCAGATTCAAATGGCTTATCCTATGGAACTTTGCCTGATGGAAGTGACTCAACGAAGAGCCAAAGTGGAGAGAAGAAAGAGGTCTAAAATGCCGAGAGGGATGGCTTCTGGCCTGTTATTCGATATCACCTTTGAAAAAAACTGCACATGTTCCATTTGTGTCCACAGCTTTTCTGTGCTGACATGTGCTAGCTAGCATTACCGGTCCTTCACCGTGTCTCCATTTGTGCGGACAGCGGGGCCTTCCTAAGCCTTGACAGCCTCATGTCTTCATGGAATGTAATTTGAAGTGTTCCCCACACCCTGGACTTGCCCCTAGTGAACTTCTAACTGGCTAGATCTTAATTAGGGCCTGGCTACTCAAGCAGGACTGTCACACAAAAATGTGCGTTCACGATTTGGCTACAGAGCACATAGGCTGCTCTTCCCACTCGACTTAGAGCGTCAGCTGCTTTGCTTTAAAGAGACATGTTAATCCCACAACCTCATTCTGGTACCAAAGGTTTGAGAACATTCATTTCTCCTACGACATCTTTTATGAGCCTCCCCCATAAAGATCTCACCTTTCTATTCCTAAGTTAGAATGGTGAATCATCTTTCCTGAAAATGAGCCCTATTATAACACATCCTTTTATCTTTAAAATTAAAGTTTGTAAGTGGCATTCTGTGATGGTGTGTACCTTGGCTGGTGAACTTTTTCAGATTAAGAAAGGAACCACCTCAGAATTAGGACCAATTTTTCAAAAAACATAGAATGATGAACATTTTCTTCAGCTGTATGATCCTATTATATTTGAGTTGAAATTGAAAACTTCATATCCTATGCCTGTATTTGTTTAGTTCTTATGACTTATCTACTGGGTATATTTTAACTCCTGACACAAGGGTCAAAACTCATATTTAAGTTCTTAGTGTTACCTTCACTAGCATACCATGTCTTCCCCAAGTTATTATCTCGAGCTTTATAAATTCTTCTAGGCAAAAGGACAGCTATGATTAGAGACCTGGATTTTAGCCATTGAAGTCTGTAGACATAGCCAGGTGGCCCAAGCTGAGACCAGAGAGGAAGGCCATGTGCTGCTGTACCCTGCCTGGCTCCACTGCTGTGACTAGTCAGATACCTACTAGATATATTTGTAGGGAGAGTCCATAGTCATATCTGTTATTTATGAACTGCTAATATATTTAAATGAGAAGAAAAAAGCTAGCCTTCACTGTAACCAAAATCAAGTAATAAGCCCTATCCCTAATGACATTTCAGAACCTTCAGATCACGTCTGACATGCCAGTCCAAAATTGTTCAGGCCAGTTGTCTGGCATTTGTAAAGGTTGTTTATCCCGGAGCTCTTGAGACTGTCGTCTGAACTGCTTTGGGTCTTTTAGCCTCGTTCCTTGTCGTAACCTATGCTCCTGACCAAACCTGGCCACAAAGGCAAGATCCGAATCTATCACCCACGTATGAATAATAGCCTAGAGCCCATGTCTGGCTTTTGAGCTCCTGTAAGAATTCCTGCTATTGTGGAAAGTATCCCCCTAATTCAAATAAAACAGTCCTATAATTTATGGCATGTTTTACTGAATCGGTCCAACATGTTGGCACTTGAAGGCTCAGCTAAGAAATGTGTCTGGTGTCTTAAACTACAGATTTCTGATGACTCTTAAAACTGGTTTCAAAGATTGCGAAAATATTTAGACTAAAGAGTTGTACTTGAAGTGGGACTCCATTTATAGCTATAGCACGTGGTTTTGAGCACTGCAGAATTTTGCACAGACACAAGCATGATGCCAATACTTTAGTAGTTGCCAACATTCGCATCTTTTAAAAATTTTGTGAAATGACATTGACTTATGCACATTTGAGCAATCCAGCAATGCTTTAGAAGTCCAGGCAACGTACAAAATATATCGAGACCTAATTTTACTTTCCACATTGCTTCTTCAAAGCCAGGTGAATAGGAGTTTTAGTTGTATTGGCTCATAAGATTTTTTAAATTACAAAGTGCATGACAACAACCAAAGCCAACCCAGTCCTTCTCTTGGCATTGTGAATTGGGGACCTTTAGCCAACACTTGACTCATTTGACTGTTTGTCTAGACGAGGGGCCTGCAAAATTTTCCTGTAAAGACGCACAGAGTAAATATTTTTGGGTCTGTTGGCCAATGTTGCTTGTCGCAGCCACTCAGCTCAGCCATGATAGCATGAAAGCAATCATAGATGATACGTAATGAATGAGCACGGCTGTATGCCAGTAAAACTTTATTTACAAAACAGGTGGTCAGCCCTAGGCCTGTAGTTTGCCAAGCCCTAATCCAGACTCCCTTGCCCTTGCTATGCAGTGTCTTTCTTGTTCCTTGGACATTCAGGAGTTGAAAAAGTGGCACTTCATGGTCCATGACAAACTAGGATGCTATGGCATGGTGGAGCCATGTCTTGATATTTACATTAGGATCTTGTTGCTTATATAAGATACAGATGGAAGTGGTGAGTTCATTATGGGTGCCCAAGTTTCTCTTGAAAGCAGTGGTTCTTTTGTGAGCACCACTACCTGAACGGGAAGAGCCTTTCCAGTCCCATAGTCCAAGTTGATAATAGCCTCAGAAGCGCGTACGAGCTACCTTTCATCAAAGCAGAGGACTTTACCATCTGATTGTTTTCACTTTAAGTGTTTGCTTAGTCTATAACCATAATACTTTCACTACCAGAATCACTTGGGAAAAAAATACAATAAAAACTTCTCAAGCAGTGACTCAGAATGTATTTTTCAACACCCCCATCCCACCCCCACAAGCTCCTGGAAATTCTATTTTGTGGCAAAGAAAGAACAGGAAAAGGCAGATTTCGTAGATTATTGCAATGTCAGTGCTAGTGAAGAGTAATGGTGATAATGTGCAAGTTTGGCTCCAAAAGAAGCAGGTGTAAATGGTGGGCATGACTTAAATGGATTGAAACACTGAGCCAAGTTCCTGGAAGCCAAGAACCCTCTCTATGCTCCTTGTTTCCAAGCGCACAGCTCATCCAGTGATGGTAACCGTCTGCGCTCGGCCACGCTAAAGGCTGCTTCATACTTGCCAATTTAATAGTGATGTTATGGACATAAATATAGCAGTAATTAAAATGAACCTTCCCACCCCCCACCCCCCCGCCAGACTGCTTTCCTTAAATTCCAGGGCTGGTTATGGAGATAATCCTTGCGCTGGCCACTGCCTACCTAATTCACATGTCTGGCGCTAGTGAATCTGAGTGCTTTAGTGAAGTTGCTAGATAAACACCACACGTGTTGAACTTTTAGAAGAAGATCTCAGAATTGAGCCTAACGTGATTGTGTGGGAAATTTAGGAGCTGCTTCTAATCGTTGGACTCATCAACAGTCTGGCTCTTATTATGGCTGTCTTGGAATTAAAAAAGAAAAAAATCCACACAAACATGGTTTCCATGCAAATACAGACCAATCTTGGGCTATTCAACGTCGTGTTTTTAGCAGTTGTGGTAAGTGCAGGGAAAAGCCTTCCCACCCAGGAATTCTTGAGTCTGTCCCCTTTCTTACCAGCCTCAGGGTACCACACAACATGCAGCCCTGTGCCAGGAGAGCAAATCAGTTACAGGAGCTACGACCCGTCCAAGGAAACATTTTTTGCAAGAAAGAGAGGAAACTCCTCCCTCAGTGTTGGTCCTTATTGAGAGTTAATGAGTCCCAACCACAATGTAAGAGAGGCATATCAACTCCAGTATCAAATAAATGTGGTGTTTTGGGGTGCACCCAGCTGAGCCAGATGTTGCCAACAGTTTCACAGAGTTCCAGGCAAGGTGCAAGATAGCCCCCGTGTTCCAGGAAAGAATCTCCTTCCCAGGGAGCTGGCAAGTGCCAGAGAAGGAGCCCCTCCACTCCTGACGTGACCAGCACGCGTGAACCAAAGCCACTTTGCACATTTGAGCTGCTGCTACCCAGACGCAAGCTAATCCTTCCAGTGTGCACACATCCCACTTTGGGAGACTTTTCCTTCATGGTTCTAATTTGAAAACCAACCTCAGCAATTTTGTGAGGTTTGGGCTCTACTCCTGTCCAAAGTTCCTCACCTAAACCTTCTAAAACGCTAAACACGAACAAGGAAATGACCCAACTCAAGCACTCTTGATCCAGGGTCTTGAAGTTTGAGTTGTTTGCCTGATTATAGACCCAATCACCACATGCCTCAAACTTCCCAAAGACTGATTAATTCGCTTAAACATAATTGATCACATACTATTTTCGATGCAGTGTGTTTAAGGTTATTAGGAGTATAAAAATGAATTCGACATGAAGACCAGCTCCGCAGGAACTTCTGTCTGGTAAACAACAGCTTTCATTTCTTGAGCTCCTATGATGTGCCAGGCGCTGTGCTAAGTCTTTCACTTGTGCTACTCACTTAACCCTTATAGTTTCTGTACCAGGGAGGTCATTATCCCTATCTTAGAGATTAAAAAAACAGGGCAAGAGGCAGGGCAGGGACTAGGGTAAGTCAAGAGAGGCACCTGGGGCATGAAATTGAAGAAAGATCACAGAAATCTTACTCTCAGTATGGTGACAGGGCTGACCCAGCACCTGCGGGGCCCTGAGAGTGAGTAGCTCCTTAAATGCTGTGCCCTAAGCACCTCCTTGCATCCTAGCTCTAGCAAAAAAAGTGAAGTGGTTCAACCAGTGTCATTCAGCTGGTGACTGGCAGAGCTGGGATCTGAACCCAGGACATCTAACTCTGCAATCCACACTCTTATCGCTAGTATCGCCATACCTACACTGCACAAGACAACATCAACAGTTCCTTAAAAGACTTGAATAAAGGCTATGGGAGCCCAGAGGGGAAAGCGGTCATTTTTTACTAGGAGGCAGTCTTCAAAAAGAAATTGGGGATTATGGTGGGTTAAATGGTGCTCCCCCCAAAGATTTGTCTACCTCCTAACACCCAGAACGTATGAATTTGACCTCTTTGGCCAAAGGGTTATAGATGTAATTAAATTAAGGATCTTGAGACAATGTCATCCTAGATTACATTCTGGACTACTCAATCCAATAATAGGGTCCTTATAAGAGATGGAACAGGAAAAGATAACAGACACACTGGGGGAAAAGCCACATGAAGATAGAGACAGAGATTGGAGTCACGAAGCCATAAGCCAAGGAATGCCAGGAGCCACCGGAAATGAGAAGAGGCAAGGACAGATTCTCTCCTAGATCCCTGGGAAGGAGCACAGCCTGCCAACACCTTGACTGATCAGAGGATACCTTTCTATTATTTAAAGCAGTGCAGTCTGTGGTACTTTGCTGCGGTAGCCCTAGGAAACTAACACAGGTATTGAGCTGGCCTTCAAAGTCCATATAGAATTTAGACCTAGATGGAAACCCGTGAGCAAAAGAGATGCTGAATAGCTCAGAGTAAGCTTGGAAATGTCTGCAACATGGAGTCACGCGAAGAGGAAGGCAATTGATAGGACAAGAAAAGCAGGTTAGAAGGCCTTGAGTGGCCAGCTCTGACACAGAATTAAGGGCTTGGGTTTGATTTGTGAAGGAAATGATGGCATTAACTTCAGTTCTGGGGGTGCAGGGTGGACCTAAGGACATAATAAGAAACTCACCTCTCAGAATTTCATGACATTCCCCTTTATCTTTCTTAGTCATTCACCATCGATATCAGATGGCATAATAAACATTCAAGAAGCAAGGACTGAATTCAGCCTTTGCATTTGTGGCACATCACATCCTACCAGAAATGACCAGTGTAGCCAGGCCATAAAGGCTGGGTGGTGACCCCTGAGATGGCCTTGGGCAGAAAAGCTGGGCCCAGAGAAGGGTGTGCCGGGCCAGCCAGAACTGCATTCCCCAGAACCTGAATTGGGAGATGTGGAGAGTGTCAAGGGGTTAGGCGGGGAGCTGAGGCTGGGAGCCCTCCTGGGGAGGTGTGAAGGCAGAAGGCACAGCAAGGGCCATAGCAAGCCACGGTCAGTAGGAGACTGAAGTTATAGAGAAGAAGGAATTGTGAGCATAGAAGAACCAAATCTGTTGGCAAAGCAAGAGAGGCAGTGAGCAATACTATAAGAGAAGTAGACGCAGAGTGGGGTTGACCGGCGAGTTTCGGTGACAGATAGCCAAGGCCCAGGCCCAACATGGCAAGGTCCAGGTGAGTGAAGCTCACCTCCTTCCACTCAGAGGCATGTCTACAATAAACAGCCAACCGCCAGGGCGCCCTGGGGGGCTCAGTGGGTTTAGGGTGCCACTCTTGATTTCAGCTCAGGTCATGATCTCACAGTTCGTGGGATCGAACCCCACATTGGGCTCTTCTCTGACAGCACGGGGCCTGCTTGGGATTCTCTCTCTCTTTCTCCATCTCTCTGCCCCTCCTGCACTTGCCGTCTCAAAATAAGCATTAAAAAAAATAACAGCCAACCCCTTCTCCAGCTGGCTGGAGAGACTGCGTTCCTGGCCACGGGAAGGGTCTGATTTTTCCCAACACTCATGGGGTTAACAGAAAACATTAGTTAGATGTGGCTGCTGCTAGCACTTAAGGGGAAAGGATGAGCCCATTTGAGAATCGCTTCATGAAATTCAGGAAGAAGCTCTTCCCAGCATTCAAATTACAGGGCAGCACTGTTCAATGACAGTCCATAACCAGTAGGGGGCGGTCTTCAGATAGGAGACAGGAGAAGGTGGGCCCAAGAAAATGACCACAAGTTTCTGGTGGCTCCTATGCTTAATCTTAATGAACATCATATCCTTGTTCTTTTTTAAAAGTGTAGTAAACCTGATATATGGTAATTTAAGAATAGCCAAGGCATCTGCTTGGCGGGGGGGGGGGGGGGGGGGGGG